TTAACATCATCCAAAAAAAACAATCAAATCAACAGAATTAACAAAAAAAAAAACGTTAAAACAATCCACAGCACTATCCACCGACAAGATAACAATTCACCACACCATTATCGTCATAATCGAACTACAAATGAGCAGATAACCATAATCCCCACAAACCACAACTAATCAAAAACCAATGACCAGAGTCCTTGTCTGCGATGAATGAATTAATGAGGGTTTGTCAAAATTTCATACCAGCGATGAAGAATTGATCTGTCGGCGTCTAAATTGATTCCTTAGCGGTGGAAGATAAAAAGGACTTCATCAATGGAAACAGAAGTGTGTGACTGTGTGTAGTGTGTGTGTGTGTTAGGGGCTTTAAAGGGTTTGGTTGTGGGCCCACGTTGTGGAGTCTTTTTGTGGGGCGATACACGTGTCAGCGAGCGAAATTACTACGTGTCTGATACATTATGCTGACGTGTCTTCACNNNAAAAAAAAAAAAAAAAAAAAAACAAACTCTTGAGAGTGGGATTAATGAATGTAATGATTTATCAACTTGAGAGTGCAAAAATGGTACTATAAGGTAAAAATGTGCTAATTAAAATTTAAATTTTCTTTCATTTGAGAGTATTATTGGTACAGATTAAAAAAAGAATTATTTAGAACTAATTTCATATAAAATAATCAACCATTGATAGATCATATATAGTTAAAAATATATGACTAAGTAAAGAGTTTATAAATTTGATTTAATATGAAACTAATAAAGCATCGATTGATCATAAGAATATGTGAACAAGTAATAGTATTATTTATTATTTTTTATAGAAAATATATTATAATAATAATATTTTAATTGCACTATAATAGGATTGCATTGATTTAAGTAAAATAATGAATATTATCTTTTGTTGGAAAATTAGTTATAAAAACTTAGGTTTTACCAGATTTTTACTGAATTTTTTATGGCTAATATTAAATTGAGATTGGATTAAATTGTGTAGAAAATTTCTTTATTCCGAGTAGATACTCATGGTATACTTTTTTTTTCAAATTACTTTTCCGTGAGTTAGAAATAAATGAT